GTGTTTGGTCAGAAACAAAATTCCAACAAGTCCAAAAGCAGAAAAAAAATCATAGTCATTGATTCCAAAGCATTAAAACTAGAAATTACCAACCAAAGGAAACCCTTGATATTGAAATTAATGATTAATGAAAGAAATAAAAAACCAAAGCTCAGAATAGTTGAAAGATCAAAACAAAAAATGCACAAACTCATGGCAGTTTTGATTGGGAGAAAAGAGTGTGAAGAAATAAATAAATATCATAAGAAACAGGGTGGGTTGAAACTTCAGGTGCAGAGACAATTTTTCTAAAAATTGTAAGAGATTATTACATGCAGCTTAATATGAATGCATTGGAAAATCTAGATGAAATAGGTTATTGTCTATAAAATATGAATTTAAAAAATGGTCAAGAAGTATAAAATCAAAATCAACCATTATCCACAGAAGAAACTGGACTAAGACAGTGGAACGAAAGCTCTGTGTAGACCAGTCTTTCTTATGAATCCAAACACAAAGATACTAAATCATATCCTTTATCATGCAATGATAAATTCCTATTGACAGAGTTATTAATGTAATTCACTTCATTGCTGGTTAAAGGGGAAGCATAAATATTTTATCTCAATTGATGTAGGAAAAGCATTTGATAAAATTCAACACCTGTTTATGCCATTCTTGCCACACTTCTGTACAGGACTCATCTTGATCAATGTGAGATGAAAAAGAAATATGGCATATAAATATTGGAAGAGAAAAACCCAAATTATTCAGAGATGTTATACTCATATGTCTAAAGAATCTAAAAGAAGTACCCGGAAAGTCATTAGAGCTCATATGAGAGCTTTTCACAAGCTCTATCTTCCCAGTCATTAGCAATGAACAAATGTAGTATTTTAAAAAACCCTGAGCCCAAGAGCAACACAAACTGTAAAATGCTTTTGACTAAAATGTACTAAAACATGAAAGACTGATGTGAAGAAAAATATAAAAACTTACTATAGGACATAAAAGCAGGCCTGAGCAGATGGTGAGCTGGATCATGTTCTTGGAGAGAAATGCTCAACTTTGGAAGATGAAAGTTCCCTTGAAATTAATCTATAACATCAATTGCAACCCTACTAAAAAAGAAATCCCAAGAGAATTTTCTTGGAAACTGATGAGCTGATTCTTAAATCCATTCTGAAGAGAAATGCACAAGATTGGCTTAAAATTTAAAAGAAAAACCGATTAGATAAGGATCCTTTTGAGGGGGGATTAGGAGGGGCCTAGAAAGTGGGTAAAAGGGCCTTTATTTCATCCCTATTTGTTTACTATTTTAAAATGAGATTATATCCATATTTCACTTGTGTAATTAAAATTAAATTTCAAAGAATATAAAATAGAGAATGTTTATACATTTAAAATTATAATACAACATAGGATAATAATCTCACTCAGTGGTTTGGTATACCAGCACGGCATTCATAGCACCTGGATCTTTAAGAATGGAATTTAGTATTCAGTTGTTGATTCCAGTTAGGTTATGTTTTCAGAAAAAATCCTATGGAGAATTCTCAGTTTGCAAGAATAAAATAAAGCAGAACCTTCAGAAAGAATATCTCCAAAGTTGTATACAATCGTGTCTTTGGTAAGTCATCTCTGATCCTGAAATAGTAACGAATGTGAACATATGAAGAAGAAGAATCATGTTTCAGAGAAAAACGAGGTTCTCAAAACCCAGTTTGATCTCCACTAAACAAACTTCAAACCAGACTTTACAAAATGCTTAAATTGCTGAAAAATTTAAAAGCAATCTCGTCACGAGACTGCTATAGACACCGATGGTTCTCAGCAACTAAAGACAAAGGGTTTTTGAGATTTGACCAAACTGTTAATCCTCGGTACAAGCGCCCTTCTGGTAAACATGCTACTGAAACCTTTCTTCTGAAATCCAGCAGGCTGCTCGAAAGCATCCAACGTCATGCTGAGAGTGTGGGTCGTTCCAGAAGTCCAACCCTGAAAGTTGGAGGATGAAAGTGGATAGCAGAATTGCAATAACAGTTACATTTGGAGATACAGTTCAGAATTACTGAGTCTCAGAAATTCATTCCCTGATAGTGTGATCTGGGATTTGGCCTTGGCCACCTGACACTGACCAAATGCATCTTCCATGCCCTTCTGTGGTCAGCTTGGTGCTGTGAGGCTCCTTGAGGTTCAGAGTCAATAGTCCCCACCCCCCACCATTAGGCAATTTTGAGTCAAGGCTGAAGCTGCACTTTTTCCCTCGTCCTCTGGGAACCTGCCACCCGCCTGCCATCTCCAACCAGACACTGAAGTGGCTGTCTCGGAACACAAAGAGGCCTGGGACAAACTTGGGTCTGGCCGCATTTCCTGCTCTGTGGGGCCCTGGCACCCACCCTCCTGCCCTCACTGCACCCGGCTCCCCCGGGGCCCTCCTCCACCTTCTTGAGGGTCCTTGGCCACACCTCACCCTGGCGGAGCCTCCCCAAGTTTCCCTGTCTGTAAAGGGGCCCATCAGGGCCCAGTGCAGGGTGGATGTGGGCAGAGGAGGGGTCGCCCTGCCCCCAGCTCCCCAGGCCCTGTCAGGCAGTTGGTATCAGCCTCCAGCCCCCACCTGGACGTGCTGCAGGACCCTCTGAGCTCACCAGTCCCCCAGCTCTGCGTATTTGCCCGCCACCTCCTCGTCCTCCTCCCCAAGCTTGTCCACCAGGTTGAGCAGCATCATGGGCACCACCATGGAATCCGTGGCCGGGGCCCAGGGAGCTCTTGGGGATGTAAAATCAAAGGCCCTGAGGATGGAGGGAGGGGGATTTATTTGCTAATGTTGCGCATGTGTGTTTGGCTCTGTAGTGTTTTTTGTTTGTATTTTTAAAAACTCAAGTGTAACGGTATCCACTAAAGTGCACAAATCCTAGGAGTCCAGCTTGGTAAACATAGGTCACACTTGTGGTAACATTTTGGTTACAGGTCTGTCTTGCTTTGGTGCCCTGTCCTTGAGGGCAGGGATCATGTCATTCTCTTTTGGAGCTTGGCACACAGCAGGTGCTCAATCAATGCATGTTGAATGAAGTTCAAAGAAGGGGTGAGGACTGAGGGAGCAAAGGGTTTTTCTAACCTGTCTTGCTGAAGAAGTCAGGGGACCACGTTTTTTATTACATAGTCTACAAATATTTTAATTAAAGCAATAACATGTGCTCAGTGGGAAAAAGTCAAACAGCCCCCCAGTGTATATGTCAGGCTCACAGATGCATGAATCCATTGAAGCCCAAATCCCCTCACCTCCATTCATGGTGGGCAGGGCCCTCTTGCCCACATGTTTCTCTTTTCTTCTCTCTCATCACTAGTGTGATGATTTCAGTCCTGTCCTGCCAGGCCACCTCAGATTCACATCATGGGGCACTTCAAGGTGAGGCTTGTGGCAGCCCAGGCAGTCAGTTTTTGGAATGAAATGCATTTTAGTCCAGTATTCTGATGATGACCTGGGCCAGTGGGGCTCAGCGTCTTTTGGAGGAGCTGGTGAGGGTGGATCTGGATGCAGTTCTGGAAGCTTCAGGCTAGTGGGCTAGGAAATTGTCGGGAAGGGCAAGGTAAAATGGAGACACACCCCCTTGCTATCTCAATGCCCGCTATGGACTGAATGTGTGTGTCCTCCACAAACTCATACATTGAAATCCTAAGCCCTAATGAGATGGGATTAGTGGGTGGGGCTTTTAGGTCCTGAGGGTGGAGCCCCTATGAATGGCATTAGTGCCCTTATAAAAGATGCCCAAGAGACCTCCCCAACCCTTCCTACCAGGGGAGGACACAGCTAAATGACAGTCATCTGGGAAGCAGGAAGCATGTCCTCAGCAGATTCCAGCTCTGCCGGGACCATGATCTTGGGCTTCTCATTCTCCAGAACTCTGAGCGATAAATGTCTAGATTATGGTATTTTTGTCACAGCAGCCTGAGTGGACTAACACAATGCCAGTGGTCCCCCAAGGTGGGCTGCGGGGTGGACAGAAGTGGGTTGGAGCAGAGGGCTGTGGGTGGGAGCCAGGGCCCAGATGCTGGCCCAGGGGTGGGGGTCTGGGAACTGTTAACTCTCAGGTAAGCAAAGTACTAACATGGGGCCTCGGAGGAGGGTGGTGTTGGTAGAAGCTCCAGGGCCCCAGAAGGCAGGGGCACTAGGAGAGGAGCAGAAGGGAATAGCATCCCCTGCTGGAGGCCCATAGGGCCTGAAGAGAAATGCCCCAGGCCGTCCCTGCTCCCCAGGCCGTCCCTGCTCCCCTGGGCCATTGTTAGTGGATCACAGATCATGGTATCACACCACCTCCTCCAAGCTGCATTTGGGATAGAATGACTGACAGCCTGATGAGGATGGGACCCTGGGGGAAGAGGACTAGGCCTCGCCTGGGTGCTTCCAGGGAGACCAAGTTGGTGGGGAAAGTTACGCTCCTTTCCAAAATGTGGCTCCCTCCTGTTGGGACACATCTAGCTCTTGGCCTTCTAGGACTGGGCAGCTGACTTCACGGCTAAGCTCTGTTCGTTTGCACTTGGGAAGCTCAGGAAGACAGCAGCCTGTCCTCATTACCTGCCTTTTTCTGAGGCAATAGTCACTAGAGAGAGGACCAGCCGCTGGCCACCAAGACAACTGACCTCCCCACTCCCATCCCTACACAGCCCAGAGAGGCTGGCTGATTCTCAAGTCCCAGAAGCCATTTCTGTCACCCCATTTCTGATCCCCAGGGGAGAAGCTCAGTGTCCAGCCGGTCTCCTGCTCCCACCTGGAATTCAGACTCGGGGGGAGCCCTTGCTGGGGTGGGGGAAGGCAGCTGGCTGAATGACTGGCCCCTCCTGGCAAAGGACAGCTCAAAGTTCCAAGAAAACCAGCCCTCTCTCATCAGGGTACTTCCTTCTCCCCTCCAGGCATCCAGCAAGGGGTTGGGGGCAAGACAGCTGAAGCCCAGAGCATGGAGAAAAAAGCAAGGGAAGAAATGTTCAAGTAAGCTTTGACAAAGGAAGTCAAGGAAGACCAATGCCATTTCACATATATTTATTGAAATCTACTTGATGCAAGGCACTGTGCTAGATCTGGTAGGGGAATCAGACGTGAAGGGCCACCTCTGTCTTCTAAGAGCTCACAATCTACCAGGTTGGGGAGGCCGGGGAGAGCGAAGCTCTAGTGCAAGGCTGATTATAGTAAGTGCCATAAAACAGACAAGTTAAGGAGATCGGGGAGGAACAAGAAAAGAGCGCCAACAACCAAAATACGAACTGGGGTAGGACACAGTTGTTCTCAGATATGCAAGTCATGTCGAAGGCCATGTTTAAAGAGACTCTTTACACTTTTGAAGAGAAACACCCAAACAGATGCAATAAGAACTAATGTGAGTATACTAGTCATACAGGAGTTATCAATTCCCCCATCTGACAGATTTGCCAAAAGTAGGGGGATACTTCCAAAGTCAGGAACAAGGTGGGTGGTGACTTAACACATTTCCGGGGGCAAACACAGGGTCAGTCTGGGAATGATGCCCAGACAGATAAGCACTGGTCAAACTCACGGAGACTAGAAGGCATAGATGTGTACCCATGTTAGTGAACCGAATACAGTACCACATTTAAAACAGGTGTTTATGGCAGTCAGGTGGGACTTGGGCCAGGCACGAGGGCCACACAGACCATGAGGAAAGCCAGCCATGTGACTCTTCTCAAAAAGCAGCCAAATGGCAAGATGCAGACCCCTAAAGCTGGTTCAAGTCAAGGGAGTCTATGCTGGGGACACAAGTGGACCAAGGAGGGCAATCGCCAGAAATCCCAGAACATGATAGGGCCAGGAGGCCCTCAAGCCAGTGCTGCCTATGGGGGCAGCTCCTCTAAACCCCAGGTGGCTCCCTCTTTCTTCCAGCACCAACTATAAATGTCTCTCTGTTTCCTTCTTTGCCCTTCACAGACGGAGAACCCGGAAGGCCTGGCCCAATCGTCTCCAGCTCTGTCGAGTGGTTGCTGCCCATGAGTCAGGTGCTCAGTTCTGGTTGAATTAACGTGGCCTGTGCGGGGTAGGGGTCAGATGGCACACGACTGGGCCAAAGCCTCGGGCACGTGGGACACAATGCCATGCGAGAAAGATGCCACTGCCAGTGGCTGGGGCTGGTTCTGGAAATGCAAGAGTGAGTCTGACCCAACTAATCAGCACGGTCCATCTTACTAAGCAGCAGAAGTGGTAAACCGTCACTTTCTTTTGGAAATTTCAGCAAGGATTGAAAGCTTTAATAAAAGCAATGAAGGGTTTCTCTCAGAATAGAAGAAAAGGACATATTTCTAATGAGAGCTGGCATTCTGTCACCCACCTGCTCTGTTTGCCTTGCAAAAGGAATAAATGTAATCAGAAAGAAAAATGAAACGAGGTAGATACATGAATACACAGACAAGCACACACGACAGGAAGTTTGATCACATTTTGCATCTGACGCAGCAGTACACCTAAAGAATCCAAGGAAATCCACCTGCAAGTGACCAGAGACGAAAACTGAACTCGGCGCAACTACAGGACACACGTTAAAGCCACAGACTGCTTGCGTTTGGAGAGCGCACAGACTTCACCTGCAAACACAGTGACAGAAAAGACGTGTTCATGCTAGAGGATGGTTTGTTCGAGAGGAAATCCCAGAACTGAGAATGGAGAAAAGGAAAGGAGAGATGCTGTGTCCTGGCTGGGTACAAATGGAGCAGTGATGATGATGCCGCTAAGTTCCGAGATAATACTGCATCTGGATCCTTCATAAAACCCAGGCCAGAATTAGCAGAGTACTTCCAGATCAAGGTGCCAGACTTGCCCCCCCCGATGGATGTCAACATTCCTTACCAAATGACAGTTGTAGCACATTCATCATAACAACTTGAAGAGAAAACTCATGAGAGAAGGAAGTAGTGATTTTGGACACAGATTCACAACTACTGCAAGAACTGAAGCCCCCAGAGCGAAAAGAATCATTAGGTAACAAGTGCTATCGGCTTCTCTCCAGCCCGGGGGGCAGGATGGAGACATCGCAGAGAGCCCCTGATGTGGCCTGGGAACCATTCCAGAATACTTTCTGGCTCAGGTCACAAGGGTCACCGTGGGACCCTGCTTCCCAGCCTTGGGGGGCCCATCCTTGGCAGGCCCTCTGGTGCACCTTCTAGCTTGGGCACACTTGCTGGGAAGTCACGCCATAGCCCCAGTGTGGCCGGCTTCTACCTGCATCCTCTGCAGGCCACCAGAGGGGCCAGGTTCCTGGCTAGCCCATGCTGCTGTCCTGCTGCATGTACCAGCCCAGCTCCAGGATGAGTAACTTCTAGTTTGATGCCACATGGGCTGTCGTCAGAAGGGCATCATTGCCCTCCAAACCCTTGTTTTATGGCCTTCCTGGGCATGGCTGTGGCAAGTCACAGCCCAGGCCTGGTGTGGCTGCAGGAGGTGATGTCAGAACACATGGGTGAGTTCCCCCTAGTTGCCAAAAGTGGAAGGCGCCAAACCGACTTTTCTAATTCCAGAGTCACTTGCTAGGAGGAGGTGCCATCCATGTGACAGCATCAGTTGGGTGAGTCTTCCCATGTCCGAGATGTCTCTTGGCTGGATCTGCTGCTCAGGCACTGAATCCACGCCGAGCATAGCCAAGGCTCCCAGGAGCTGGAAAGTCGGCCAGCTGCTACCAGGACCAAGCTTGGACCCTCACCCCCCATAGATCTAGGTGAGGCCCAGCCCCGCTGGTGATGGCTAGGGCTCTACTGAGGAACAGTCAGAGTGTTCTGGCCAGTCCGAGATGGAAATTCTTCTTGAGTGCCTGAGTGGCCAGGTTAGATAGTCAAGTACTGCCCACAGACATGCAGAGTCTGCATATTGGATGAGGAGTGAGCCTGCTTCTCTGGCCCATTTCCATCCAGCCTGCCCACCTGGCGCATCCACCTTCCGGTGGGGCAGGGCTTTCGACTTTTCATTTATAATTAAAATTCTAGAAGAAAATAGCATCATCTCTAACTACTGAAGCAATGGAAGTTACGACTTAACTGACAACAACGAATGCTTGGATATGTAAAAATCAAAAGCTTGCAGAACAAACATGTAATAAAACTGCTACAAAGAGCAAAGCAATCAAACTGGAAAAGAGATCACCGTGATTGATATAGAAAGAACTGCTGTATAAAGTCAATATATCCAAAGGTAACTTGATAACTGGTCAAAGGAGATGAATGTATGATTTGCATGCAAGAAAACGGAAACAGTATTTTAAGTCCTCGCGGGAGAGAAAGATGAGACTAGAAGTCAGGAGGCCTGGGTCCATCCCACGTTCTGGTACTGAGTCACAGAACGACAGCAGTAACTACAATGATGACGGCAAAGGACCTTCACTGAGTGTGTACCTCCGTGCCAGGCGTGGCATTGCAGTCCTCACAATAACCTTAGGAGGTAGTCCTATGATTGCCCCTGTTTTACAGAGGAGGAGAGGTTACGGTCCCCTTACACTTGAGTCCTTGAGAGTCCCTGTTATCATGGGGATGTTCTCTCCACTACTTTATCTTGAACAAAATGGTGCTGCTTGAGGACCAGACCCCTTAGCCTGAAACCAACCCCAGTCGATGCTAGTTTTGGATCTGCATGGGAGTCACCAGACTGAATTGGTTTAAGACAAAAGGACACAAAAGAAATTTAACTCAGATTCAGTACTTAATCTGAAGAGTATGACTTCACCGTGACAAGTTTTTGATGCTTTAAAAAAGTCTTTTAAAGGTCACTTTAAAAACAGAACAGCTTTAAGTGCTTGTGTTGTAGAGCTCTAGGACGAACTGAAAAACACCACCAATCACACTAATGTTTTGTGGACGTGCACTTATGGCTTGGGAGGCAATTTCTAGTGAGAGCCTTGTGCACGGATTGTCACAGCACTATGTGGCACACAGCTTGGATGGATGGAAGCTTTGCGACTGTCTGATGACTGAACGGGCTTTGAGGTTGGAGAAAATGGTGGGGTTAGAAGTACATGAGAGGAATTAGAATAAAATGATCTCAGGGCGTGGAGCTGGGGCAAAGAGGAACATTTTCTAAATTAATATATTATTCTATATAATATGTGATTTACAATATGTATGTATAACTAAATTAATAAATTAAGTAGTATAAGACATCTGATTATTCTATTTACAACCCTAAAATTTATAAATTCAAGTAGGCCAAAAAACCTTGGGGTGATCTTGTCTTCGGGAAAGTTGGGATCACATTACATCAAGGCCATCACAGAATAGCTCTACATCTCAGTTTCCCTGAGCAGGGAGCTTGGGGTGGGGGGGAACAACGAGCCCTGTCTCCACCCCCACATCCAGGTTTCTCTTTTCTCATTCTCAGATTCAAGGCCTGTGGATTTAAATACCTTAAAGGTACTTGATGCCAGCTGAACCAGCCCAAAGAAATCAAAATGGTAGAAGCTACTGTCCATAGGCAAAATGGGAAACACGTACACCTATAAATTGCTGGTGGCAGTAGAAATTGGTTTCAACCTTTCTGACGATCAAATATAGAAGCGCTACAAAACTGTTCATCTCCTTTGACTCTGCCCTCCACACCCGGGGGCCGAAGCCCCGGCAGGACCCCGCTGCGGGCCGTGGGGCACCCGGCCTCCTCTACTCGCGGTGGGTTGGCTGGTGCTTCTGCAGCGCCGAGCGCCTCTTGAACACGCGGCCGCACTCGCTGCACTCGCAGCGCCTTGCTCCGCTGTGGGTCCTCCGATGGCGACTCAGGCCGGAGCTCCTCCGGAAGGCCTTTCCGCACTTGTCGCACTCGTAGGGCTTCAGTCCGCTGTGGATCCGCCGGTGTTTGATCAGGTCGGAGGGCCCCCGGAAGGCCTTGCCGCAGTCGCCGCACGCATAGGGCCGCTCCCCTGTGTGGATGCGCTGGTGCTCCAGGAGGCTGGAGCTCTGTCGGAAGGCCTTCCCGCACTGGCCGCACTCGTATGGCTTCTCGCCCGTGTGGATCCGCCGGTGCTTGGTGAGCTCCGAGCTCCTCCGGAAGAGCTTGCCGCAGTGGGGACACCCGTAGGGCTTGGCCCCGCTGTGGATGCGCTGGTGCTCGGCCAGGCCGTTGACCCCTCGGAAGGACTTGCCGCAGTCATCACAGTCAAAGGGCAGGTGGCCAGTGTGCATTCGCTGGTGCTTGAGAAGTTCCTGGCGATCCAGGAAATCCCTGCTACACGTTTTGCAGGCAAAGGGCTTTTCCGACGTGTGAAGCTTCTGATGTCGGAAGAGGTGGGTGTTCACTTTGAAGGACCGCCCACATTCCTCACAGTCATAGGGCTTCTCCCTGCTGTGGACGCGCAGATGCTGACTGAGGCCGGCATTCTTCTTAAACCTTTTCCCACATTCTTCACACTCAAAGGGCTTCGCCTCCCTCTCCATTTGCTCCCTCTTCTCCACCGCATCGTCAAGGGTGCGGCTGGGGCCGGGCCGGGGCTCCGCTGCCACGTGGGTCTTCCGGTGCTCGTTGAATTCAGAGACCCCCTTGAAGACCTTCCCGCAATCGCCACACTCCCAGCCCTTCTCCTCACTGTGAATTCTCTGGTGCTGCACGAGGAGAACCTTAAGCCGAAAGGCATCCCCACACTCTTTACACGCAAAGTGATGTTCTACAGGCATATTCTGGGGTCTCCCTTCCCTCCCCTCTGAGTCCCCATTCTGCCTGACCTCAGGGCTGGGCTCAGTGGCCCTCAGGGAGCTCGTGGATGCCATCTCCTGTGACTGGGCGTCTTCACCCATCGCCTGCTGTTGGGTCACCCAGATGCTTTCTGAAATGAAAACCACAGAGGAGGAAGAAAGGTTATTCTCCTTGGTCAAGGATCACTCTCTTCCTGAGACAGCTGCTGAGCCCGTGCCTGGAGGCCAGGGTGCACAGTAGCTGGTACCCACCTGACCAGAAGCACAGAGCATAGATGGAAGGGACAGAGGGGCCTGAATCCAGGTGACTGAGGAGCCCCCACACCCCCTCCCCAAAGCCTCAGTTGGGCCTCCCCCACCACATCCTCACCTTTCTTCAGTTTTCTTTTTCACTCTCCAGAAGGCTTAGCTCAATCCACGTTATGGGAGGGGTCTGACACCAACAGCCCATGTCCTCATATCAGGTAAGAGACCAATGCAGGGTTCAAAACCAAAACTCCTGCTTGGGGAAAAGGAAAGACATTTTGGCGGCAGCCAGAGCTGACATCAGAATGGGGCAGGCCCTCTGAAGGGGAAAACCTTCCTTTCAGTCCCCAAAGGCTGGGCTGACCACATCCTCAGGCAAGTCATTCATCCATGTCAAAGGCCTTTCCCAAGGGGCAGCTCCCTCCAGGGGCTGGATAAAGCAGGCTCTGGGCCCCACCAACCGGGTGGGGTGCCAGGGGTCTTCCTGAGGAGCTAATTCTTCCTTTCCCCCCTCCCCCCTCCTCGGGGTTCTTCCACAACTGTCAAGGCTGCCGCCTGGTCATCTTTCCTCCTAAGAAGCCTCCCACCTCACACACGCAGCCCCTGATGGTGCAAAGGCTCTTGCTATGTCAACCCCTCTCAACAGGAAACCACCAAAAAGTTGCCAGGCAACTTGTATAATCTGTCACTTAAAAAAAGTATTCTAAATTATAGTGGCCCGTTTGTTCTAATTTACTTCCCAATAAAAGACTGGCGAGGCTTCTTTCCAAGCCATCAGGAGTTGGGAGAGAGACCTGTTACTTTGAGACACTGGGTGTCACAGACCCTTTGTATTTCCTCACAGCCCGTCCCCAGCAAGCACAAGCCCCTGGAAGGTGTACAGCTGTGCCTGGTGCCCCTCATCTCACTCTCTGCTTCATAGGAGCAGGAAGCAGCTGGCCAGGCTGGTGAAAGGGCTAGGGGCATCCTTACCCAAGGAGGTCATGTATCTTCAATATGCCGGCACCCTCTGCTCAGGGTCCAATCTCAACCACTCCCTTTTTGTGAGGTATTAGGCCACGTCACCAAATGTCACCGAATCCTGAAAGAATTCCCATGGATAATCTGTCCTTCCATCCATTTGAGAATGAGGCAAGGGTAGTGCCAGTAACCCCAGGGACAAGAGGTGAGAGTCTGGAGAGTGGGTGTGCATTGCTAACATGGACGTATCACTGCAAGCCTCAAGAAGTCCTGGAAAGAGAACCTGACCGTGTGCCAGGAGACCTGGGCTGTGGCCCTGGATCCCACTGTCCTCCCAAGGGACCTCAGTTCAATCACTTTCCTGGATTGACACTCAGCTCCCCCATCACTACAATGGGAATTACAAGCCAGCAGGCATCCCTTCCTTGGCAGACTCTGGGGACAAAAGCAGAGAGAGAGAGGGCAGGCAGCAGCTGGGGTTCAGGCCCTGTTGTATGTCATGCTGGGGCAAGAGTCAGAGGCTGAGGCCAGAATCAGGGAGCAGTGACAGATTCCCAAGCCAGGCAGAGGGAAGCACAGCTCACCTGGGCTTCCAGCATCTCAAGAGGGCCTGCCAGGACTTGGGTTCCTGGGAACCCATCTCAGGAAAGGGCAAGACCCTGGGGGACAGGCAGAGCTAAGGAAAGTGAAAAGAGCTGTGAGTGCTAGCAGCCCTGCCTCTGGGTCCCCTGGGGTGAAACTGGCAATTTCCCTTTCCCTGGTTTTAGATCTTGTAGCACCTTCCCTTGCACATAGGCTGAGTGACAAGCCAGAGCACGGGTATGCCTGAAAAAACAGATCCTAAACAGTGGGGAAAGTGGGCTGGCAAAGAACTAATACAGGCAGGCCAGAAAGAACCTGGACAGGACAAATGAATGTTAGCCCAGGCACACACTGAGGACAAACATAGACCTAGAGCCAATAGCAGGGGGACTGGCTCCCAGAGGCAGGTCGGCCACAGGCCTCCAAGCAGTAGGCCTCCAATACATCAATGCTCATACTGCACAGAAAGGAAGCATCCCCCAAAAGAACATTGGAATAAATAACTAGGAAGTGAGAGAGCCTTTTCAACTTTGTAGGGACCATAAAAAACTGGATTGGGCCACTGGAGAGGAGAGAGGTAAGAAAGAGCAGGAGCCCCTCCCCACCCCACTGAAACAACTCGCCAGGTGACAACAAGACGGCTGCAGGCAAGAACATTTCTGTAACATAGCTAACAAAATGAAAAGTTGAACAAAATTGCTGGAAAAAGAAGCCTCAAAAAAAAAAAGATCTTCAAACAGTAAGTTGTGAAATAAAAGAACCACACATGCAAGTGAACTTCTTCTGTCGGATCCCACCACTGGTGTGCATGCATCACAAGCCTCCCACTCAGTAAGTTCACAGACACAGGAATACCGTTTCTGTTATGATGTCAGGTCAAATTGTTTCACAGTTAAACGAAAAGGAAGCATTTTTACACCAGCTCAAGGAGTATAAAACCCAGATACTCCAGAAAGACTTTTACATAAAGTAAGATGTTATATTAAAAGGGATAGACAGAGACGCCCACTTTTGGCCATGATGGAGTAAAAGGAACAGATTTAATCTCCTGCCATAAGTAAGTAGGAAACTGGACAAAACAGATGTGAAACAATAGTTTTTAGATATCGGACAGTAGGCAGCACTGGATCAGATTTGTGAGAAAACAGAAACAAATGAGGTGAGTTTGATCATTGGCCCAGATATCTTCCTGGAGGCAATTTCCAGATTAAGAGTGTAGGGAAGGGGGCCCGAAACAGAGCTTGGTGGTTTCATCATTAATACAGACCAGTGCTCAGGGAAGCTGAAGCAGCTAGAGGTTGTAGAGCAGAGGTCCAAAAAGGAGGGAGGTATGCAGAAGAGTTCCAAAAAATCTGTGTAAGGCTCCCTTTGAGTTGTTCTTGACTACCAAGCCATGCATGCATAGAGTGAAACTCCCAAAGAATAAGAAAATAATGACCAGGAAGCTGTAATCTAAACAATTCCTGGGACACACAAAGGTAGGGAGATGTTCAGGGTCCAATCAACCAGAGTAGAGAAGCTTCAGTGATCAACTGGGGTATTTAGTAGAGAATCAAGGGGCCATCCCTTAGTAGTAGGACTGATGTATCCCTGGAGCCACAGCTACCCTGGACCTGCTCTAGAAAAGCTTAAAAATAGCCCTCAGAAGGATGAAACTGTTCTATAAATAACTACCTCCCAAAACAAAGTCCAACACTTTTCACAGTGAAACAACAAAACCCAGACACTCAACAACATAATCTCTATAATGTCCACCATCCAATAAAAAGTTACATAAATGCCAAGAAACAGGAAAATGTGACTCATGGCAAGGAAATATCAATAGAAACACTCAGAAATGATCGCTGATAGAACTTACAAACAAGGATAACATCTAGTTTAACTATGTATAAGTATTGAAAGGAAAACAGGAATATAATGAGAGAAATGGATGATGTAAACAAGAACCAAATGGGACTTACTGAGGTAAAAGCTGTAACATTTAAAATGATAATTTCTCCGGATGTGATTAACAGCAGATTAGACACAGCCCTCCTGCCCCCCCCCCAAAAAGATTAGAAAACTTGAAGACAGCAATCGAAACTATTCCAGATAAATATCAGAAAGAAAAAAATATTAAAAGAACAGAGTCACAGTGATTTGGGGATAACAGAAAGTATTCTAACATACATGTAACTGGAATCTGAGAAGATGAGGAAGAGGAGGAGGGGGATAAAAGTATAACTGAAGAAATAACAAATAAAATTTATTTTCCAAATTTGATGAAACCTAGGTCCAAGAAGCTCAGTCAATCCCTAGCAAGACTAAACAAAACTCCCCAAACCCAAACATGTATACCGAGACACATCATAATCAAATTGCAGAAAACTAGTGATAAAAGAGAAAATCTTAAAGAACCAAGAGGAAAAAAAGATGTTATAGACAGAGGAACAAAGATAAGAATAACTGCTGACTTCTTATCAGAAAGTGTACAAGTCAGAAAATAACTGAATGGCATTTTTAAAGAGCTAAAGGAAAAAAAAAACCCTGTCAATCTAGAAGTCTATATTCAGGACAGGTATCCTTCAAAAATGAAGGCAAAATAAAAAACTTTTTTAGACAAAGAACAGCTGAGAGAATTTGTCACCAGCAGACCTGTACTACAAGGCATATTAAAGAAAGTTCTTCAGGTGAAGGGAAATGATACCAGATGGAAACTTGGGTCATAGGGAATGAAGAACATGAGGAATGTTAAGTATGTGGGGAAATATAAAATGCTTTTACTTCCTTCATTTTGACATCTTTAAGAGAAAACTGAACATTTAAAGCAAAAATAATAAGGCAGTGTGGGGCTTATAACATATGTAGAAATAAAACATATGATTTCGTGTTTTAGGAAGCCCTCCAAGACTCTCATGTATGCCAGTAGTGAAGATAAAATACAATTCAAAAAAAAAATCCAAAAGAAGAAAGGTAAAAACAAAGGGAAAAGAACATATGGGACAAATAGAAACAAATAGCAAGAGGCAAACTTAAATCCAACCATATGGATAATTAAGTTAAATATAAATGGACTAAACACACCAATTAATACACAGAGATCATCAGACTATATTTAAAAAAACAAGACTCATCTGTATGCTGTCTACAAGAAACTTTAAATATAAAGACTTTAAATGTAAAGACATAGATAGGTTACAAGTAAACAGGTGGAAAACATACTATACCCAACAGGAAGGATCTCAATAATCCTAATGTCAGAAAAACAAGAGGGAGACCTTTGTGAGGAATCCTAGAACTCAGAATAGGAAGAAAATTGAAGAACTTAAGTATAAAATCAATAGGTAAGAGGAAACAAGAAACAACAACAACAACAAAAAAGAGACATAAGTAACTGAAAATGAGAATAAAAACCAACAGGTAGCCTATGCAGGATGACAGACAGCAGATTACAAAATTTGAATCCTTCAAAGAAGATTGTAGACAGACAGCAACTATTTATTTAAAAATCTAAAGAAGGTAGGGGGAGGGGAGAGAACAGTATATATTTGCATTTTAGGAGAAAAAAGGAATAAACTGAGGGTGACTCATAGCTAAATTGAGCACATCTAGACCGCAATGTGTGCCACCCTGGGGTAGAGTTCAGGTCTAGAAAGGTCTTTGGCTTTCTGTTTCCATAAGGAAGTTTTAGTAACCAAGCTGCATTTCTCTGGTGATCAGAAAGGAAAAAAC